TCAGCCCACCCCCTCCAACTGTCAGTGGGTAAAAGAGAGGAGGACCAGAGTGGTGGGGAAGGTGATGGCTGGGAAGGCAGGGTGATGGGACAGGCACTTCATGGCCTCCAGTTTGCTCCCCGCTGCCATTGTCTGTGTGTATGTGCATGATGGGAAAGCACCAAATGGAGCTCCTTTGCCAGGCATCTGAGCTACTCAGCAAGACTTCTAGGAAGCTGACAGCCTGCCTGTTTTGTTTTATTAGCAAATCAGCCACAACACCAGGAAGTTCCGCTTTGGACTGCCCTCACCAGATCATGTCTTAGGACTTCCTGTAGGTGAGTGGGGTTTGGTTTCATTACCAAGACTGGGTGATGAAACTCAGAAACTCAGCTGGGGTGTAGAGGTTGCCCTGATATCTTTCCTGAGACACATGAGCTCAGAAAGGTGGGGAGATGGGCCTGGGGACCATCATTCCCTTTCTCATTGTTCGATTTGGGCTGGCACAAAAATCTCTCAATAAGCATTGAAAAGAAGTGAGTCTAGAATCCAAAGGTATTAAATATCATGGCAGGCTCCTTGCTGGGCAACCTTAGGCAGGTTTCTCAATCTCTCTGAGCCTCGGACTATGAAATGGGATTTCCCAGGCCTGCCTGCCTCCTGGGTTGTGAGGATAAAGTAATTGATGGATGTCAAAACTCAGAAATGGCAGTGCTGTCTGTGCACATGGGAAGGATGGGAGGATGTTCCCCTATAGTCAGAAGAAAGGTACAGAAAGTGTGGAGAGGCAGGAGGGAATCAGGTGCCCCTCCCCACTACCACATGGATTTTCAACAGGGGCCTCAGGCCCACACAAGGAGGGATCCATTGTGAATAGCAGCCCCAGTGCTCCTAGAGTTGTGAGTTATCCTGTTTTTAGTCTGTACCACCACCAGATGGCTGAGTCTTAGTGAGGTGGAAAACCTCCGCTGGTTGTACAGCCTGGGAATCTAGAGCTTTTTACAAACTGCTAGTGCTGCTTGCCTGCCTGGTGGAGATCCTCATCCGTGGCCTACTTGTCCTGTGTGCATGGGACAAAACCTTGACCTCACCTCTAGCAAGTGTTGAAATTACCCATTAGGCAGCCAGCCTGGCCCCTAGCCTCCTTGCTGCTTCCTGTTTCTGTCTTCATCCATGAGAGCCCAGTGCCAGCCTGCCTTTGCCCTCTGCCTGGCCTGTGGGGCCAGTGCTGTTGGAAAAAAGGCTAAAAGGATGAAAAACTTTGAAATAGAATTTCTTAGAATCTGTCATAACCCGTTGTCTCCCCATGGCTGGTATAG